TCAACAAGCAACTATAAAGCAGAGACATACTACAGGGAGGGGGAGAAGGGAGTAGGATCAAAACAAGGGTGGTGGTAATTGTATGGGGAGTATAACCAAGATGAAAATGCATGCATTGTACAAAAATGAAAAATGGTGGCAAAACATATAAAATTAAAAAAACAAACATAAAAATGAATAAATATAAAAAGAAAAAATAAATGATTCATGTCTCTAATGTATCTTTGTCTTTTTCTCTGACTGCCCTTCTTTCCCATTCTTCCTTGCTGCCTTATTTCTCTTTGCTGTTCTTTCTCTAGTCTTTTTGACTTTTACTTCTATCATTTGTTACTATCACAAAACAGCTATGTCTTGGACTTAAAGTCTGTTTGTTGCTGACTTACTAAAAATGTTATATTATTAAATACAGTTTAGATTATAAAAAAGACAGTGTTAAGAAAATGAAAAGGCAAGTCACAGACTGGAAGAAAATTCTTGTAAAAATAGAGCTGATCAAGAAACTATATTTTGAAAATGCAAGGAACTCTCAAAACTCAACTAATAAAACACACAACATAATTTTTAAATGATTAAAGATTTAGACACAGTTAAAGAAGATATGCAGATGGTAAATAAGCACATAGAAAAATGATCAATAGTATTAGTTATTTGGGAAATGCATACTAAAACCATAATAAAATAAATATTTGGACACCTATCAGAATGGTAACATTAAAAAACTGACAACAGGGCCTCCAAGGTGGCGCAGCAGGTTGAGCACCCCACTGTGAAGCTGTCCGCAGCCTCTGCAGCATGGGTTCAATTCCCGGCCAGCCAGGAAGATTCCCACATGGCATGGCAGACCTCGCCTGCCTCGTCCGCTGCTCCCCTCAGCAATGTCTTCAGTCTGTCTGCCTGTTCTGCTCCCTGCTGTCTGTGGTGTATCCTCTCACCCTCCTGTGCCTCTGACTGTACCCCAGTTCTTGTATAAATAAATAAGTCTTAAAAATAAACCAAACAAACCTGCCAACACTGAGTATTGTTGAAGATATGGAGGAACTAGAACTTTCATAAGCTTTGGGTGGGAATGGAAAATGGTACAAGCCCTTTAGAAAACAATTTGGTAGTTTCTTAAGAAGGGACTATAAAGGGGCTTGAGGAGACTTTGAGGGATGGTAGATGAGTCAACTATCTTCATTGTGAGGATGGTTTCATCTTTGTATACATATGTCAAAACTATTAAATTACACATTTTCTGTAGGTGTGGTTTACCTAACTAAAGCTGTTGAAAACAAAAAGTCTTATTGTAGGAAAGACTACTCAGTCACTGAGACACAGATGAGAAAATGACATGGATTAACACAAAATGCAACTAGTGGATGGTAGCCTTTAACCTTAGAGCATTGAGAGATACCAGCTGGATTTTAAGGAAGGGGTAACATTATGAAATCTGAATATAAAATATATATATATAAAACAATTATAGTTGCAGTACAGAACAAGGTTTCCAGAGGTATAATGCCAGGGAAAACAGATCTGAGGATATTTCAGTATTCTAGGAGGAAAATAATGGGAATCTGACTTCAATGAAAGGCCTAGGAGAGAGCAGAGTCAACAAAAAGTACAGTGGGGATTCTCATAGCTCTTTGGCTGGAAGTAAACAATAGCTCTCAGTTCATCTCAATATAAAACATTTCTGAGATGAATAACATGAGAACAGATCTATCCTCTAGAGTGCAGTACTAGACAAAGTGTGCATGTGATGCTATAGTATATGTATTAAGACTTTATAATTAAACAATGCTCCTTCCTTTACAATTTATGCAAAGTTCCATTAACAACCTACAATTCTCATGTTCAGAGTAAAGCGAGTCACAACGCGTTGAGTATATTTCAGATATCTGAGTTATGTCATCAGAATCATCCATAGGATTGATTTCCTGCTTGATATAGAAATAAAAAATATTTCAGAATGTCCGGTAACTATCGATAAATATGCTAAGTGCACAGAGGTGATAAATATTCACCTTTACAATAGCAAAAACACAGGTACTCCTTAAAGGAACTGACTTTTATGAAAAGGATGCCTTTATAGATAATTATTATTTATAAATTATTTTTAAAGTAAACATTTTTTAAAAGATTTATTTATTTATTTATACAAGCACTGGGTACAGTCAGAAGTGCGGGAGGGCGAGAGAATTCACCAGAGCCAGAGCAGGGAACAGAACAGCCAGGGGAGGAAATACACTGCTGAGGGGAACAGTGGGCGCAGCAGGAGAGGTCTGCGTGCCATGTGGGACTCTCACTGGCAGCCCGGGATGGAGCCAGCGCTTCAGAGGCTGCGGGCAGCTTTGGAGCCCAGCGCACAACCGCTGCGACCAGGGGAGGCCCTTAAAGTAAACGTTTTTACAATGAAGTAAGAATTTATTTTTTCCTTATAGCTTTTAAAATGCATTTTTAATGCAGAGTAATTTTTGTCATTATTTATTCTTTACTATACCTTCTTCTCATTAGATGTTTCTTTACAGGCCTATAAAAATAAAAGATTTATTTTCAGGCAAATAGTAAATAGCCAAATAGAAAGAATATCAAAACCTATTGTTTTTATGTAAAATCTTCTAACCCATACTTTCCTAAAAAGGGATTAAACAGGAAGTAAAAAGAGTAACATTAAAGACCAAAGATGTACCGTAATATTAACAAATTATTAAATTACTTCAAATTAATAATCAAAATACACAAAAAAAATCAAAGTTATTTACATGATTTCATAGGAAACATATTCTCGGGTTTATTGTGGTGGTCATTTTCAATAAAAAACAAGCTTTTACTGGTACTACAACCTAATTGGGAAATACTGCTCAAGTCCTTATATGAAAGGAGAACACTGACAGGGAACACAATATATGAATGAAAAAATAATATACATAGAAAAACTTAAGAGGAACAAAACAAATTCTGGAGCTGAAAATCTAAAAAACCAACCAACCAACACGCACACAACACAAACAAGTGAAAGTTAGAGATGCTGACCAGATTTAACATTGTGCTGGAATTGCACGCCAGGGCCATTAGTCAAGGAATGAATAAAAAGAATCCAAGCTGGAAAGGAAGTAAAGTAAAAGTATCTTGTTTCACAGAGTACATAATCACAGATATGAAAATTCTAATACATCCACAAGAAAACTTCTAGTTACAAAAAATTCAACAAAGCTACAAGATACAAGAACAACTTACAAAAATCAGCTGTGTTTCTATTTATGTGCATAAAGAAATTGCAAAAGGAAACTAAGAAAGCAATTCTATTGAAATAGCATCTATAAGAAGAAAATTCTTAAGATTACATTTGACCAAGAGGTAAAAGATGTATACACTGAAAATTAGAAAACACTGGTGAAAGAAACTAAAAAAAAAACCTAATTTAATAGAAAAAACATCCTTAGTTGATGTGAAGGATTAATATTGTTAAAATGTCAATCACCTAGCAATCTACTGATCCAACTCAATATTTATTGAAATTGCAATTTCCTTTTTTCTTTTTCAGAAATGGAAGAGCCAACCCTCAAATTCACTTGAAATTGCAAAGAGCCCAGGATATCCAAAACAATCTCGAAAAAGAAGAAAAAGTTGCAGGACTGAGATTTCCAGATTTCAAAACTTAGAAAGTGGTACTGTAATGAAAACAATGTGGTACTAGCATGCAAATAAACATACAGACTGACAGAATAGAATAGGGAGTCCAGAAATAATCCATAAATATAGCCAGTTGATTGACAAGTGTGGTAAGTCTAACAAACTGGAAAGGTCTCTTCAATAAATGGTTTTGGAAAACTGTATCTTCACATACACAAGGATGATGCTGGCACCTTACTAAATACCATAAACAGAACTGAAATAGACATTGATCAATAATCTAAATAAAACAGTTAAAACCATAAAACTTGGAAACACAGTGTCAATGTGCATGACCTTGGACTTGTGAATGGACACTTAGATATAATACCAAAAATACAAGTACAAAAAAAAATTAGATATGTTGGATTTCATCAAAAATAAAAAAAAAAATGTTAATCGTTACAGGCCGTTGTCAAGAAAGTGAAGAGACAGTCTAAATAGAAGGAGAAAATATCAGCTAGTCATATAGCTGTAAGGGGCTTAATAACTGAAATATGCAAAGTGCTAATGAAAAACGTGAGTCAACAACAAAAGGTCAAACAACCCAATTATAAGAAGGGCAAAGGACTTGGATAGACATTTCTCCAAAGAGGATATACGAGGTCTATAAACAATTGAAAAGACAATCAACGTGATCAGATATTTACAGAAATGCGAATCATCACCACAATGAGATAGCACTTGACACCAACTAAGACAGGTAAAATTTGTAAAAGGGAAAAGAATGAGTGTTGGTTTATAGGGAGACTGTGGGAAAACTGGAGCCCCTATCTACTGCTGGTGGGATCGAAAATGGTGTAGAATCTGGAAAACAATGTGATGGTTCTTCAAATAGCTGACTATGGAATTCTCATACAACCCACCAATTCCACTTGTAAATGACTCTCTTAATATGAGCGCACCATGTTCCTTGCAGTGTTAGGATTGTCAAGAGAAGTAAATACCCCATGCCTACAAAAGACTGCGGGCAACCAAATTGTGGAGCACACATACAATGGAGCACAGAGCCAATAGAGTGGAATAAAGTTGTCACACGTGCACAAGGACAAACCCTGGAAGCATTATGATAAGTGAAATAAGTCAGTACAAAAAAATGTATGATTTTGTTGACATGAAAACCTAGGAAAGACAAATTCGTAGAAAGAATAGAGTCAAGGTTAATCAGGACTGGAGGAGAGAAGGGCAGCAGGAGACACTGCTCACTGGTCACAGAGTTCCTCGTTTGGGTTATAAAAGATATTGGAAACAGTCACGACAGTATGCAGCCATGGGGATGGCATGTGTTACGTTAAATATCTTACAACAAATATTTTTAAGTTTAAAAACTAATAAGAGATTTTTACCTGTAGCATGATATGATGGCAGATAATATGATCAGAAGGTATGCCGTGTAAAAGAAAGGGACCACTGTCCTAGCACTCGCCTCAAATTCAAGTTTCCTAGAAAGTGATGTGAATTAGACCACCTGTCGTAAAAATACACGCAGTTAAATAACTTTTAACATCAATATTTGTGTATGAGTGACAAGATGTATCAAAATATTATAGCTTATTGATTGAAACATGTTATAGTTTGGTAAAAGATTAAAATATGTGAATTATGATTTTAGAATAAAGGTATAAAAAAATTTCCCCACCAATCCATGCCATGCTTTCTAAGATTTCTTTCAAAAATCCAATGTTTGGGCCTCCCTTGGTGGCACAGTGGTTGCATGGTGGGCTGTGAAGCTGTCGGCAGCCTCTGCCGTCCTGGTTAGATCCCAGGCCACCAGTGAGGGTCCCACCTGACGCAACAGACCTCTCCTGCCACACCCGCTGCTCCCCTCAGCAGTGTATTTTGTCATTCTGCCTCTTCTGTTCCCTGCTTTGGCTCTGGTGAATTCCCTGACCCTCCCGGCATCTGACTATACCTGGTGCTTGTATAAAAAATGAATATATCTTTAACAAAAAATAAGCCAATGTTTAACATACCTGAGTATACAAATTCTCAATTTTCTCTAATACTGTGTAATCATTAATAACTGTCAAAATTTTGACTTTTTCTAAATGACGAGTAGGTTTGTATCTTTTGCTATTTAAGTACAAAGTATAATTTCAGCAAGGCCTGGTATTCAAAGCCTTTTCCCACCGGGTGTCTCTCACCAGGCCTGGCCAAAACTGTTAGCAGGTTTGCTCATCATCTGAGGTGCCTGGCAGGATTCTAGAAAATACTTGAGAAATCTGAGCTAGTTGTGTTTTTCTAAAACACTAGGGAACATCAGCTTAAAGGTTGGTTTTTTCTTCCAGTGCCACCAAGCTATTTTTCAAGGGCTCCAGAAACAGCACAGACGTGAAGTGAGAGCATTCTGGCTAGAAAACCGAAAGGAACCCTGAAGATCAATGTCTGCCCTGAACACTCCCAGCCCTGGGGTGTAGAATGAGTGTTTCCCACTAGAATGCAACCCAGTATCTAAGCTGGCTGCTTCCCTTGGGGTCCCTTGAAGAAAGTTGGCTTAAACTTCAAAGAGAGTGGAGCAGAGCCGGTTCCAAGTCAAGGCCTCCACCAAGTAGCCAGGTTTGGACACATTCCTGGACAGGTCATATCCCTCCCACCTTCTCCTCCCTCTAAACCCAGCCCCAGGCACCTGGATGTTCTTCAAGGCCAAGCACTTTTCAATGACGTGAATTTGGTCCAGGAACTCGAGAAGCCACTTCTGGCTGCACGGGCTTTCCTCGGGGTCTGCGGTCTTCAGGTAGTACTGCAGCCGCATGGTCTTGGCTTACAGGAGTAAGCGGCTTGTCCCTGCGCCCGGACCTAGGACTGTTCCTCCCAAGAGGTTGGCCAAGTAGAGGGGAGCAGCGGAGGTGTTGTAAATAGGGAAAGTGATGCTTTTCAGGTCCATGATGTTATTCTTCTGCCAGATGAACAGGAGTGGGTTGGAGGGCATGCAGGTGCTCTGGTACCTGGCACACACCTGAGGGTAGAGGACCTGGGTTCCATCTTCCCAAGGCGCAGTCAGCGTCTGCACTGCCTCGTCCAGTTGACTCATTTCTGAGAAGATGACTTGATCCAGCAGATTGGTAGTGTTGGACATCACCAGGATGGAGGCAAAGTTGACCTCCGCACTGGACCACAACGGGGAGAAGAGGTGGAACTCGTTATTGGAGAAATGTGCCTGCACGAAGTGCAGCTCGGCTTTGCCGGGGCTACCCAAAGAGGTGTACTGCTCCTCCAGGTTCTCTTCAGTCTCCCTGTGCAGGTACGTCAACCGGTACCCAGGACAGCCGTCAGCACCAGGGGCGCCAGCAGGAAGAGCCAGGGGTGCGAGCCCACTGCCAGCCCCATCCTCTGGAAGCCCCGGGCGAGGGGCTGCTCCAGGCGGTTGGTGTGGCAGCGGGGCCTCCCAGGGGGTGGCTGCTGCCCCTGGGCTTCCGGGACCGGTGAATCCCCTCTCTCAGACGGCTGTCGGGGTGGGTCTGAGGAAGGCCCCAAAGCCTGGCTCTGGTCGGGCTCCTGCCCCTCACTGGAATCCAGGACCTGCTCTGGGTGCCCCGCGGAGGCGGGGAGCTGCTGGGGCCCAGTTGCCGCCTCAGGATCTGCTCTGCTCTCAGACCATGGCTCGGGCCAGTCCTCCTGCTCTGGCCTCTGAACCCCTGAAGCCTCCCCTTGCTCGAACCCCCCTTGGGGTGCAACTTTGGAGGAATGGACACCCATTTCGGGAAGGACCGACCAGTTGTTCAACAGGAGAAGAGAAAGCAGTGACTGGATGTTTCGCCCAGTCCCCTCCCCCCACAGCTTCTGGGAGGAATCCACAGGGAGGCTGTGCCAACGGTCACTGCTCTTGCGACCTTTGACCTCCGCTGTGCATGCTGGGATGCGGCGGGGGGCTGCCAGGGGGGTACTTTGCTGGAGAGCCGGGTCTTTCCAACTGGCCTAGTTGGGGAAAGTGGTTCCAGGCGGGTCTGCGCTCCTGCCCTTAGGATCCCCCACCTGAGGGGCCTGCATTTGCTACACTGTTATCAGTCGTGGGGTTCCCTCCTGTGCCCTGCGGGGGTGTCGGAGAAGGAGGCTAGAGAAGCCCAGAGTGAAGACCTGCAGGGGCTTTTCATTTCATTTATTTATTTTTTTAGATTTGTTTATTGTTATTCAAGAACTGGGGTACAGGCCAGATGCGCGGGAGGGTGAGAGGATTCACCAGAGACAGAGCAGGGAGCCGAACAGGCAGACTGGCTGAAATACACTGCTGAGGGGAGCAGCGGGCGAGACAGGAGACGTCTGCCACGCCATGTGGGACCCTCGCCGGTAGCCGGGGCCGCGGACAGCTCCACAGTGCGGGGCTCAACCCACTGCGCCACTGGGGAGACCCCACTTTTCATTTTAAAAGTGAAGGGAAATCGAAATACTAATGAAATGCTAGTTATGAAAGTTGAAGTAGTTAGATTACAATCAAGAAAAGTGGATATTCAGAAGAATAAAAAAAATTGCAGATAAACAGGTGACCACATAGTGATAAAGAGTTTGATTTATGGGGCAATCCTCAAATGTGTGGTGATTGTAGTCTCAAAATATGTTTTTAAAATTCCAGAGCAGAAGAAAATTATGAAAATTACAATGTCGTGCATAAATTAGAGACTTGCTAAATATAGAAATCAGTGCAATCCAAAAGACTAAAGTCAGAAATGAAAGATTACCATGGATCATTCTGAAATTTAAAACAATTTTAAGAAATTACTCTGAGAAATGACATGCCAACAAATTGTGCACATTAGATGATACAGACAAAATCCTTGGAATAGAAACGGTATCAAGGCCGAATGGACAGACCTCTCTCTAGAAAGGAATGACTCAGTCAAAGAAAAGCCTCTTAGAGCATGCTTTTAACTGGGCTTCGGAAAGGCGGGTGATGTACAGTTCCTATTATAAGGAAAATTACCTGGCATTTTCCCATGGTTGCAATCACTTGGCATTAATAGCAATTATGTCTTTAATGTAAGTAGAAAAAGCATTTTTCATACAGTCTTCAGATTGTAAGACTACTCTAAGAGTTTATGGGAATATCTTTTACAATCTCTTAAAGGAGAAATAGATTTTGAATGTTGGTTATCCATAAAGTCATGGTTGAAAGGAGACCACAAGAGGGCACTCGGGAAAATGAATAACTATAAGAAAGTGAAAATCAAAATCAACAAAAAAACTGAACCAGAGACAGTTTTTGGGGAGTGGGGGGCGGGAGGGGAGGGACTGGGGTCAGAATGGGGGGGTTGCAAATGTATGGGGAATATAAAAATAAAATTTATTATTTAAAAAAAAGAAAAAAAAAGAAAAGAAAATGTTGATTACAGTCAAAAAAAATAAAGTTACAGTAAACTAGCAGGAGGGCTCCTTTTCTTTTTATTCCCTGTTTCAAGTTCTAATTACAGCCACCTCTTGAATGTATCATTCACATCTTTCAACCTACTGGCATCTGTATCACATTTAGCCTGTAGATGGAATTACTGATTTGGGAATGTCATGTGTTATACCACACACATATTATGGAGGGAATGGCTTGGTGTCCTAAAGTTTGAAGAGGAAATGTCGAAAGGTGCTTACAAGTACTCTACCATGAAGCAAATCCAGGCACAGGGCCTCTCAATGCCCATCTCTGTAATACTTCTTTAGCATCACGTCAGCATATTTTTCCCCTCAGAAAACAACTACTGAATGTCCACAAGAGTTCACAAAGCAGTCACTGGTAAGTACTAACTTTTATAGAAAAGCAAGTATATGCTTCTGGATCCTATATTATCCTGTCTTCTCCTTCTAGATTATTTTATTAATCTACACATCTAGATTACTAACATTTGTTTGAGTCTAGAATGTCAGTCAAAAAAGACTGTCTTTATTTAATTTTTCTCCTGCCAATTTTGTTTTATATTATAAGAATTGTAGTGGCAGGTAGGGCCACTGAGCAGGATGTCTATGATCCAGCAGATGGGTAAAGGAGAGGCTTGGAGCCCTCCGTGGCTTTCTCAGGCTTTTATTGAGTTTTACATGTAGTATGGCAAACAGGTACACAGCAGGCGGCGTGCTGGGGACCAGGAGTCCCGTAGTCTCCAAGTCCCCAGCAAGTCTTCACTCTGGGCTTCTCTGGCTTCTTTCTCTGGGTCTTTCTCTCCTGCCTCTTCTGCTGCTGCTTCTCTTGGTGGCTATCCCAATACTCCTCCCATGGCCCACAGAAGCAAAGGAGACAACTTGCAGCAATGTAACAACTGCAGGGACCCATCAGGCAGGGCTGTGCCAATAGAGGGAGGGCAGAAAAGCCTGAAAAAACATTTACCTGCAGAGGAATTTGGCTTTCTTACAATGCCTATGAAATAAGATCAGGCCGGTTGTTCTATGAGTTTACCTGCTAATGTTTGATTTGTGAAACTCTTTCGTATTGGCAGCAGAGCTGGAGATCACACCAAGTATTAGCTGAGACATGATGGCATGCAAATGATATGGCATCAGAGTCGGTTTGTTTCTTAGATTTCTTCCTTTCGACTGAGACATCGCCCTGAACTTTCATCTGAGTATGGAATACACTTTTCCAGGGAAGGATCCTCCATACTTTAGAAAATACCATCTGTATGATAACAGGAAAGGAATTGGGATATTAAAGAACATAGTTTAGAACTTAACATTTTATCTAGTCTGCTTCTTAGGCATAAGCAGTCTAGACAAGTCAAGCAGACAAAGCATAACCGAGTGCTCAGTCACCTGCTATCCTTATCTTTACCAGTAGGTAGTTTCATTCTCCTTCTGTTCCCCAGTTGTCCTCAACTGGGGACACTGTACATGTGCACTGCATATTCTCTGTCCCCATCTCCTTCTTTTTAGTCCCACTCTCTCAGGTTAGCAAGAGCTAGTTTGTTGGGGGAAAAAAGGGATATTGCCCACTGCTATTTATAACATGTCTTTTTAAATTTGTGTGCTAGTAAGTAATGTGATTATTTGTTTCCTGCATTTGACCATAAGCTCTTCAGAGACAAGAACTGTGGCTTATTCATTCCTGCATTTGTTACCCATTGGAGACTCAATGTTATTCAAAAGTGGGTGAGAATACAGCAGTGGCAGCAAAGAAAGGACCTTCCCACTGACTAATATGTAGCTGCTTATTCTCACTACTCAGATGGCCCTCCTGGACTTTCTGTACTGCAGTTTTATTTAATTAAGATGTGGTAGACACATTAACTGAAATGGATTCTGTACTAAGTAGATACTCTAGGATTTTTTCAGATGCCTTTATGCTAAATGAGCTAGGAGGTATCTTTTGTATCTTCGTATGATCCCTTTTTCCTTTCTTCTTTCTTCCTTGTTAGGAATTAAAGCAGTAGAGTTGCTCCAATTTGTGTAATAAGCTGCCCCTAGGCATTATGAGATCCTCATAGTTTTCTTTTTCTGGGTTAAAATCGTAAGAGTTGCACCAGACGTTGAGAAGGGGCTCTAAAGCTGAAACACGAATAATTCAGAAAGATTGTGAAGTAAGGATTAATAGCGCCAACAGCAAGAACTGATCATGAATATAATATGTGGGGGAAAGTTGCGTATCAATGTCTTGGTACTGTGGTCAACTCTTAACATCAATGGCCTCCATTGAATCTTGACTGTCAGTATTTGTGACATTCCGTGGTCCCTTTCCTTAATGACTCTGGGTTTGGCTAACTTGGTCAAATGAGACATTAGTAAGAGTGACACATCAGAGGATTGACAAGTTTTTGTGCATTTGGAACTTGTTGGCTCTGAAACAAGAGAAAACAGGGTCCTGCTGAATTGGGATCAGTTTCATAGCACTCATAGTAAAATTTTTAAAGTAGTTGCTTTAACCTTGACCTTAAATTCCTTTTTTATATAACAAAGTGAATTTCCCATTTTCTGTAATAGAGTGATACCCAGAAAGCAATAGCAGAAAACAACTAGAGATTGCTTAAGGGAAAGAAAAATAGAGATTTCATTAATGGAAGTATTAGAAAAGGAGAAAGGAGACATTGAAGGTTGTACTCAGCACACAAAAAGTAAAACAAGCAAATGAGATCTGAAATATTGATGAGATAGGACTTTAAAAGGGGGAAATAATTTAATATTTAACTAGGTCAGAGAGTGACTATAATCTGAAAAAAAATATCAGAGAAAATAGTAGTAATGCTCCCAAAGGGGAACCGAGTGCAGAACGTAAATGAATAGTTGGAGTTCTCTTGAAGCATAGAAGAGCTAGTCAGTGGTTACAAAAAAAAAATCAATGGATTTTTCTATTTCTATTTTAATTTTATTTCTCCATATGTATACATGTTCCACTTACCCTCCACCAAATCACTCATGTCAATACCCCCTTGGCTTCTCTATACTGGCCGCCTTCTCACACCCCCCACCTCATTTCCTCTGTAACCATTAAATTGTTTCACTGAGTTTAAGATCTATTCCTGCTGTATTTTGTCTGTGTGTTTTTTGGTTATTCATGCTTCTCAGATGAGTGAAACCATCCAATATCTATCTTTCACTTTCTGATTTGTTTCACATAACATAATTACCTTGAGGACCATCCATTTTGTTCCCAAAGCCACTATTTCATCTTTTTCACATCTGTATAGTATTCCACAGATGTTTAAGCCAAGATTGTGGACCATTAGTTTAGACTACTTCATGCATTAGTAAGTACATTTCGAGGGATAAAGTTACATATAGATTCATGTTTTACCTGAGCTCTTGTGGACCAAGAATTTCTAGAGTTAAATCTTCTCCAATAAGAAGCACACAGAAGAGAAACCTTAGAAAGGAATCGAGAAGGAAAAAGTGATCAACCTGTGCCTGAAGTGCATGAGGCA